TATTCTAACTTACGTAGCAGCAGATTAATTTAATTTGACTTAAATTTTATCTCAATCACTTTATAACTATTCGATTCGTATTAATTCAGTCTCCCATTTTCCCCTTTTTTCTTACGGCAGACTTGTTTAGTACCAAATAATAAAAGGCAAAATTGAATCTTCCCTTATTTAGCCAGTTACCCTCCATTGGACTGAATTCGAACTCCATATATTGTCCCTATGAAAAAAGTTTTCGTTTTTTCATGAATTAACTTAGCTTTTAATTATGCTGTCCTAATTGGGGCACATAAAATAGGGACCTTCTATATTCCAAGAGATTAGGATGAAATTATCCTGATCTCTGGGCCAGAATTGGTTTGGGACATAATATTGCATCACTTTTTAGTGGCCATTCATGACAGATTTAGAATTTGGAAACTTGCTTAGTCATTTTATTGCAGTTGATGTTTGATGAATTTAAGTGGAGAATAAGCTTGATTTATCACTTAAAAGCTAACTCTATCCAGACTGTACTAAGATTTCGAGCTCGGTCTGGTATCTTATCAGCATCCCAGGCAGGAAATGAATGGTGAACCGTGCCCTCTCAACCACTTGACTATGACTCATGTGACTTAAACTGGAAACATGACTTTTCTAAAAGTGTTTCTCGGCGACAATCTGTCTCCCGATGGACCCTAAACTATGAAGTTAGGTTAAATGACAAAACCACATAGCATTTGGTTTTGTTTTTTATCGTGTAAAACCTAACTAGATGACGATTTTCTCCGAAATTCCCGTAAACTGTATAAAATTAAGCAAAGGTATGAAGACCAAGATGGTGTGGCCTTTTGTGTGGTCGTAGTCCCCTTTCGTTGTATAGAAGTTGTTTGACCTTGTTTTCGCAACTTGGTCATATTGGTAGGAAGACATAGTGGAAAGAAAGAGTTGTAGTGTGGTGCTAAGAAAGTCAAGACTCACTGGCGATGCCGGCAAAATGTCTAGGGATGTACCACATCCACGGTCCGACTCTGGAAATGATCATGCATACAATGGACTTCGGACTAGGTGCCTTCATCTATGTCTTTCTACTAATTTGAATAAGTTGCGAAAACTAGTTCAAACTACTTCTGTATGAAATTAGTTGAATTTGAAAATCACGTAATGCAATGCGAAAAGGTTAATCGAAGAATACGATAAATTGACCGCAATTAGGCAGTTTTAATTATTAAAATGAAGAGTCTTCTTACGAAAGTTCTATTTTTCTATGGATTTTTTAGACCTTTAAGAAAGCTGCTCTATAAATTTGGCTTTGGCTTTAATTATGTTGGATCAGATGTACTTATAGAATTTTTACAATTTTTTAAGTAAACTGGATAAAAGAATACTTAAAATCGAAAGCTGTAAAAATCACATTTTCAAAGCGAGCTATTCCTTAGTTATTCTTTGAAGCACCAGGACGACCCGTGGTCTATGAAAATGGGCTAAATTTACCTAAAGCTTTACTTAAGGTTTATGGGATAATTGATCTCAAGAGTTAGAACCTGCTCCACCGTTTTCCTTAGAAAATGACAATCAAATTGTTTTCGGAAATAACATATTTTCTGAGAATCGAAGTAACCTCCTGATGCATTTACAGTTTCCACATAAAGCTTTAGATAAAATATTCTTGTGGGCTCGTACATACTTTGGAAATTTGATATTTGGGCTTTTATTCGAAGTCCAAACGCAGAGCCTACACAAAGACTTATAACTAAATGCAATATCATTAGAAAAAAATATTTATATCGCATGTTCTTTCGCGGAGGTCAACAAAAGTGCCTTGGCTCACGATAATATTTCCAAATATTTGAATTTGCCCCCTTTAAGTAAAGTCTAATTTCATATTATTGGGGCTATGACCAACTTCTACAAAAAATCAAGGAAAAATGGCAAAGTAAAGGGAACGTGTGGGTTGAATTGCTTATCAATTTTGCTTATGCACTGACATATCTTGAGCCCAAACGTATTGGTAAAGCCGAAACTATGCCGAAAAAGCTTAAGTATACAAACGTTCTTACCGTTTAGAATTTTTCAACAACCGATTTTTATTATATCCTATTCCAATGGAACACTTCAGAAAACGAGTATTTCATAAACTTTTTGGTACATTCTTTTATCTTGTCTGAAATCAGTCTCGCATCGTCAAAATTCAAGTTGCCCAAACAAAGCTTACAAACGTCAACTTGATTCCGATCAAATCCCAAGATAGTTGAGATAACGCTTCGCCACGCCGCCCTCTATAAGCTGGTTCATCCGTTCCTGAGGCAAATTCTCTTCCAGACAATTCGTGAAGCAGACCTCTGCAACTTCACAATTTTCTGAACACCTCTGAAGCAAAGGCCTGCAAGTTTCATAGCATCTGAGCGCCTCTCGTTCCTCCACTATCCCGTCGTCTGAATAAATGTCGTCAGCTTTACCACTCAAGACAGCTAGGCTCAATAGGAGCATAATTCCAACCGTGGATTGCATGGTGATACTTCTAGTTGAGATGTTAACTAGAGGATATGAAAAACAGTAGAGTATATATTTGACATTCGAAACGTTATTTCAGCTTAGCTAACATTGCAACTTGCTAAACCCAGATGTGGTGATCACACCGTAAGATATACACAAAGACATTAATAGTTAGAAAGAAAATTGAATACTTAATGCTGAGATATTTCCCGTATAATAATGGAACGATAAATACTTAGACTTAAGAATATTAAACAAATTTTTCTCAAGTTCCCAAAGTTATATGAGTGGAATCACGAGATTCTTTAAGGGTATAGGATGGCCTTTAAATTATTTAAATCATCCTCTGAAGAAGTAATAAAGTAAGTGTTTTTTCTCTAATTTTAAAATCTTTTTGTCAAGAAGCAAATAGACCATATTAAAAAACTGACACGATATCGAATTGATACAGTGGATTTTCAGCGACTTAAACTCTATTTCCAGGAATTAAGTTAATGATCTCTTGAGTAAGCCTCATCTATTTCGGATTGCGGCTACATTTTCTAACAGTTCATTTGGGAAATTCATGCTAAAATGCTCTACAAATCGTGTTAGCTTACTTGATGCGCAATCAGTGAGAATTTATGCTTTATAGCATAGACTTAAAAGAACATATAAATTCACAAGGCATGGAATACGCTTCTACGCTATTGATAATCCTTGAGCACACAAAGTTTATTAGCTCTCTATTTTTACAAGGAATTAATAAGAGTAAAAACAATATTCAAGCTTACTTGAATTTAATCGGGACCTCAAGGGTTTCTTGTGCTAACCAGTAAAAATTGGCTAATATATATCTATATTTATGCGTTCCATCAGTGCAGATTGACCGAACACTTCACCGGAAGTAAACTACTTATGAGAAGTAAGCTTTTGAGATAATTACTTTGCCATATTTCCCGCTGGCTAACTGGCTATCACAAAATGATACACAGTAAATATTACTCCCCAAAGTATTGTCATTTTGCTCAATTTATACACCGTTCGGTAGAGGAATATAGGATAATTGGGTTAACTTTAGCATCTAACCGGCTCACAAAGGGATATAGGATATATATAATTTTATGAATAATTTTAATAGATGCAGAAGCTTTGAGTTTAATTTTAGCAGTAAGTCGTAAAACTGTGTGAGTTAAGAACTTTTATCCTAAATCTAAAGCAGCCCTGTGACCAATCCTAGGCATATACACTTATACATGTGTTTGCTCCAACATGGGTTTGAGTTTCTCTTTACTCATGCCTGTGCAGTGCTTCCCTCTGAGCTTTCTTCCATGAAGATTCTAAGATCGAAATTCACGAAATGCGTCAACTATTGTTGGCCAATTTTTCACGATGAGTAGAATTGTCGAAGGGAAAGTATAGAGATGTTCTTAAGAGGTATTCACACTATTTCGTTTAAGGTGATGAAGGAATAGTAGTAGAATTTTCCCACAATTATATGAGTAGAGCTGACGTTTCAATTGAATTTCCCATAGCCTTGCTTTCCAAAAAGGTGTTCTCATCCAGGGTGAACTGCAGTTTCGACCTCGCCTCCGTCTTATCAACAGCCCCAGCGGGAGTCGAACCATGACAGTGCAGAATGGAAGCTTGACACGTTAACCTGTCACGGTTCGACTCACGCTGGGGGTGTTGATAAGACCGATGCGAGGCCGAAACTGCAGTCCACCCAGGAGGAGAACAACTTTTGGGAAAGCAAGACTATGTGAAATTCAATGGAAGAGTCAGCTCTACTCATATAATTGTGGGAAAATTCTACTACCAGTCCTTCATCACCTTAAACAAAATAGGGTGAATACCTCTCATATTACTGATTTACTGGTAGTCTCGAAAATTTATTCAAATACAAAAAAAGCTGCGAATAACTGATCGACTCACCTTTTATGAGCGAAATAAGGTTACAACTAAATAAGGGCTTTAAATGTTTGACGCTGCATTTCACTAGCATCCAACATAATTATGTTAGCAATGACATGTCTCATAGAGCCCCGATTACTCGAGATCACATCAAGAAAAAAGGGCTTTGGTAAAAGCGATTCTTCGTTATTTAAAGTAAATACTTAGCAAACGAGTTTTATCTTATATTCACGAATTGGTTATAGTTAAGAAGATTCTTTGAAGAACACTTATGTTGTCCGACCTTGGCTCTTAAAATTTGGTATTCTATCCAGTCTGTCTTGATTAAAGGACGCTTGGCGTAACGGAACCAGATGTCCATGCTTGTGGTTAGGGATCCTAAATTCGTAAAAGCAAGAAATTAAATTCCTGTCGGAATCTTGCTAACGAATTTGTTTTTTTCAGCTTCACAAGAAACTGTAACTCAGTCATACGCTAGCAAGTTAAAACAAAAGTTCTTAACTGGTCCGTTCTATGAAAAACAATCCGTATTTTTCTCTTAATCTGAAAAGGTCTGCTTAGTGAAGGCTCTATTTATTTTATGTTCTCTCCTTCGCGCTATCACATTGATGTTTG